CCCGATTTTGGGTCCAATATTTGAGGCCGTTTTTGGCGGGCGGCGGACCGCCGCCCCACCGGCCCCTCCCCCCCCCCCTGGGCTTACGCGGCCTGGGAGGAGAGAGAGTGAGAGCGAGGAGAGAGAGACGGACCATCCGCAGAGGAGAGAAGAGGAGAGGAGACGGGAGAGACCGCGGAGGAGGAGACGAGAGAGGAAAGACGGGAGGAGAGACGAGAAGAGAGAAGAGCGAGAGAGGAGAGAGAGATGGAGAGATGTGATGAGAGAGAGAGAGAGAGAGAGAGAGGAGAGACGAGAGAGAGAGAGATGACGAGAGAGAGCCCGGAGAGAGAGAGAGAGAGAGAAGATACTTAAGTATTGTAGCCAAAAGGGAGAGAAACAGAAATGAAACATATAACTATGGATAGATAGCGATGCGATAGATATGGGACAGAGATATTAAGACACGATAGTAACGTTGGCTACGGGATGAGAGGACAGAGACGAGACAACAGTAATTAAGGACAAGAAAATGAAATGAGGCGATGCTAAGTAACACAGCTACGCGGATGATGTTTTTGATGCGCCCTTCTCTAAGCATTGTCCGCTCTAAATTGAATGCTTATGTCGGCGCTAAGTTATTGCTTTGGGCCGTCAGTCAGCCGACGTGTTCCCCAAGGGCGTCGGAACCTGCCGCGGCCAGCCGCGGCGCACCGCCGCGAGCCCTTTTTTCAGGCCATAATATTTCGCTTGTAACCAAAAATCTTTCAATAATTTATACCGCTCTTTTTTGGCGTACATATAGCACTGTATATAAGTGTATCTAGGCCCCTATAAGCAGAGGACCAGAACCGGTCATGAGAGGCGTCAAGTCAGGGGGTGTACAGGGCGCTAGGGTCCAGCGGGGGTCCGGACCCCCTGCTCTGCGCAGAAAAACGCATCTGATGGCGGTTCTAATTTCAAAATTTTTCTGGGGGAGGGGCCCCTCCATACACCCCCTTCGCTGTGCACAAAACGCTCAGAATGTCAGGAAAACTTTCCTAAAACACGTTTTATTAGAACGTTTACTGGTCAATACATGTTAACCTAAAAGAGAGACCACTTCCCATAACATTCAAGGAACATAACTTTGTTAGGCCTTGTGTATGTCTTACGAGTTAGACCCCCCCCCCTGCCGTTCACAAAAGATCCTGTACCACGCCCCTTGCAGGTCACCTTTAGCTATAAAATTTTATGATCCAGAACTCTGGACACATTCCTCGGCTCACCATCTACTCGCCTGATTCTATGCAGGCCCAGCATTGCCGTTGCGTTATATAAGCGCGTAATCTGGGGCGTAATATTGAGGGAGCATGCTTTGCTCGCGCGTCAGCGCGGTTTTCATGACGAATATTAACAGTCGTTTTCGTTGTAGCACAGTACAATTGGTATGCATGTCCTTTGAATGAATGTATTTCTAGAAGTTTACCAAAGATTTATTCCACTGTTAAAGTTGAGAAAAATTAATTTGGAGTTAAGCAACAAATCTTTTAAATCATTCATGTATTTTTTCTAAAATTACAGTGAACACTTTTTTGTGCCTAAATCACAATGCCTTCAGGACAGGAATGCCCCACCAGAGCCCCCATTTTGCCTGTAGATTTTCAAATATTTTCACGTGAAGAGGGGCATGCCCCAGCGACCCCGCCCCCCCCCTAGGGTGGCTTCGCCTCCCCGGGGGCTCGCCCACACCAAAGCGCGGCCACTATTTTATTAGCTTCGCGACCGCCTGTTTGCGCTCGTCGCCGCCCTATTTCCTGGTCTATTGGTATAGCCAGTGGACCTTCCGGCAGAGCACGCTGCCAACCCGTCTGAAGGCGCGTGCGATTCGAGTACCCCGTACTTTTCGATTACGACTATACGATCGAGTTACGCGAGTATCGGATACCTATCCGAGCGAGCGGTGGACTTTTTCGCATTGCAGCACCTTCCTGTCTTAGGCATTGCCACGCTCTAAATGTAAATGCTTTAATGTCGCGCGCTAAGTCATTTTGCTTTTGGGTATATAGATCGCTCGCGACGTGTCCGGCGCCCTATTATTCCTGTACGGTATATTTGTATACGGCGAGGTATAGCAATTCCAGTTGTTACTTCGGCAGAGCAGTTGCCACGCTCGTTGCAAGTAGCGAGTGTGGGTTTTCGAATGAGCACAAGTCTCTAGGCGATGCCACGCTCTATAATGCTTTCCTATGAACAAAATAAATGTGATGTAACGGCCATAGTCATGATTCTCTTTAATGTGTTTTTACGCCACAGGTGGCGCTTACAGTTGTGCGAGCTAGATTTATGATTGATAAATGATTTAGCGATATTAGCGATTATCGATTTATGATTTGATGAATTTAGCGATTGGATAAATATGGAAGATGATCTGACGGAACTTTATATAAATGAATACGCTTGTAAAAGAGTTGCAGTAGGTTTAAAGCGTAACAGGTTTGCGGGATTATTTTTTGGCACTTCAACTTGTTATGCCTTAGGCAACAAGTTATGTCACACATACGTATGCCAGGATAGTGATTGAATGTCTTCTTATTGATGCCTGTTATTGTGAGAGGCGTGGTAAGTTATCTGCGCAATCACAGCGCCCTTGGTTAGGCTCAAGTTTCAAAGAGAGTAGGCCTAGCCTATAAGAAGCGAAGCGGCTATGGCTTCTTTTAACTTTCTGTTCTGAAACTTGAAACTTGAGCCTTCAAGGGGCCGTGTGGTGCAATACTGAATACTGTCATTGGCACATCAGTGTGAGTCACTGAGTCGTAGATACAATTATGTAACCCACAACACAGGATATGCCCTATCCGTGTTTGGGTAGACCTAGCTCTAGTACTATAGCCCGCGGATCGCTGCCGCAGGCGCCGGACCCGCGGCAGCGATCGCGGGCTATAGTACTAGAGCTAGGGTAGACCGAATAATTCTGTCCCATATACCTTTTTTATATTTTGTGAGGGTTATATTGGGACAGAACGGGGTTCATTGAAATTTCGTGAGATCGCATGCAAAATGCATGGCGCTGGTAATGCGGACCGTACGCCGCTATTGCGCCGGAAAAAACCTACCGTTCCCTTCTACATTGGCTTTACCTTGCTAGCTGATATGTGTATACATTCACTTCAAATCGTTATTTACTTCATAAACGATTGTTTTTCAAGAAACCCCGCTTCCATTAACATTTAGTAAATTAACGTTGCTACGTTGGCCATTTACAAACAATCAGTCCAATCACAGCGAGTCTATCAGGCCTCCTGCAGCGCCACAGATACAAGCGAGAACCAGGGGCTATTGTAAGACTCGCTGTGATTGGTCTGATTGTTTGTCAATGGCCAACGTAATTTACTAAAGTTAATGAAGCGGGGTTTTTCTGAAAAACAATCTTTTAAGAAGTATATAACGATTGAAGTGAATGTATACGCATAACAGTAGCAAGGTAAAGTCATGTAGAAGGGAAAGGGAGGTTTTTTTGCGCGCCAATAGCGGCGTACGGGCTGCATTGCCATTAGCAGCGCATGCATTTTGCATGCGATCTCACGAAATTTCAATGAACTCCGTTCTGTCCCAATATAACCTTCACCAAAATATAAAAAAGGTTATATGGGACAGAATTATTCGGTCTAGTGTTTGGGTTACATTATTGTATCTAACCGAGTCGGTGAGTGACTGTGTCTGACGGTCTGTGCCACAGGAACGTTTCAATAGGGCCTACTACTACTACTAGTACTAGTAAAATGATGGTAAATAAACACGAAATGTATTTACTACCAAAGACTTAATGTTAATTTTCTCTACTCTATTTCGCCTATTATTGCCGATAACTTCCTGTAAATGCCGTTCAAATGCTCCTCTGCAACACACATGTACACCGCACGCACGCCGCTGTGCACAAACAACAAGAATAAAGAATAAACTTGGTAGTGAATACATTTCGTGTTTATTTACCATAATTTTATTATTGAAACGTTCCAAGTGCCTGTGGTCTGTGCCACGTTGTTGAGTCTGAGGTGGATCCGAAATGCTTAAATTTCACATGAAGCCTATAGCTGAAACCCAGTCATGAATCATTCATCATCAACACCAATATGGCAATAATGAATCAACATCATCACGGATTCACCCTGTGCATACTCTAACCACGAGGGCTATAACCCTGCTGGCTTACGTACGATACAATGCATGTCGTGTTACTGCTTAACCTTGCGTATATCTATAATGATATATCTGATATCATATGGTTGACCATCGTACTCGGAAATAATTTATAGTTATGGGGTGAAAATAATTATAATGTAACCTCAATCCGTTTACCCAGTTAGAGGTCTTGATACATATTATTTAACCGCAGATAAATTATTTTTACTGTGGTAGAAATAATTCAACCGCGGTTATTGCGATTCTAGAAAATGGCATGAACTAAATTATACTTGAGAATGGACCCCTCTATGTACCCTTCCATTCCCCCTCAAAATGGGCTTGAACTGCAAGCTGTCAATTAGAGACAGACAAGACTGGGTTAATCAGTTTACCACCACTTTACTGTCAATGCAAAAAGTATAACATGAAGTGCCTGCTTATCTTTTTCAGGACACAATGGGTTAGTTGCTGTAAGTACAATGAATGTTGTTTGTTTTAGAGTAGTAAAACATGGTTTATTGTACTCTAGCTGTGAGTGGTTTGGTTTTTTATGCAAGTTTCTATCAGAAGAAAAACAATAATGTATAATATGAAAAATATTATAATAACCACAAAAATAATTCCTGCAGGCGGCTTATCTTGCGAAAGCTGGGAAAAAGGTATGTGTGCTAGAACGGCGTCATATTATTGGAGGTGCGGCTGTGACGGAAGAAATTATACCGGGTAATATGTTTATCTATTTGAATCCCCTATGCTTTCCCATTGAGTATATATGCAAAACTTTCTCAAAGTTAACTTCCCAACAAAAATTCCTAATATTTTGACCACTTCTAAATATCTCAGCCATAATCTAAGTCAATAGCCCCATTACATAGGCTAATTAATTGTAAATGATATTCTTGCTGATTCTGACATTACTGATTTGCTTGTATTTGCTTTGCTTGTGATTAGGATTTCAGTTTTCACGTGCATCGTACGTGCTAAGTTTATTGCGGCCACACATCATGCAAGACTTGGAACTCGTGGTAAGAAATTAGTTTAGTCGCTGTTGAATGTATTTCTATGCAATGTGGGTTGTTATAATTTCATTCATAACTGTTACAGCGCGCACATTGGTGCTTTTTATTTCGTTGTCAGTGGCCATGGATTAATGTCGAGGTTTATGTTGGATTTTGCAGAATATGTGAGATAATATTTTCCCAGGCACTGTGTTACAGGAAATGGAGATATCACATGCCACGTCGGTGAAGAACTGATTGCTTTTTACAGAGTTATTTGTTTTTTTAGAAACATGGGTTGAAGCTACACTTGCGTGACCCATGCTCCTACACCCCGATACTGGAATCTGAGGTCAGCAGAGGGTGCCCCCAGTCACTGCTAATGGGTCCACAGGCTGGACTGACTGTGCAAGAGATAGGCAAGTTCTCCAAAAAAGATGCAGAGGTAACAATTCTGGAAGTGATTTTATTAAGAAAACGTATCATTCATGAGGTTGAAAATTACTTTAGAAAAGTTATTTGTCAATATGCGACCATTATCTGATAGTTTCTGACAGTGGAACATGCATACATGAGGTGACATCAGACCTGCGGAAGTCTATCGGAGAGATGGACGAAAATTTTGTCGTTGTAACTAATAATAACTTATTATCAGTGTGACTTCAATAAACAAGGGAAATTCGTCATTTACTAGCCTTAGAATACCTACTTCAACCAACCGAAGAGAAGCGCCGCGTGCGCAAGAGTCGCTAGTAGCTGCCTTTTGTTTCAAGTTAGGCGGTTTATACATTCGGTTTGCTGGCAACAGAATGGATAATCGTGTCGTACGTTAGAGATTAGGCATCAACGCAACACAGATAACCTTTGACCCGGTACACAGCTACATACCGGCATACAGCTGGCATGCCCCCACGTACGCACGCCAACCGCAATCAGCAGCAGATCCGGGCTCAAATCTCCCAGCGAGCCACATTGCCTTGCCGAGTTAGCAATAGCGCATTAGTAGCTGCCTTTTGTTTGAATATAGGCGGGCAATCGGCTTGGATTGATGGCCAAAGAATGGATAATCGTGTCGTACGCTTTGGTCTGTATCTCCGGATTGCGGGTGTATACGAGGAAACAATTTCGCACGATGCTAGGCGAATGTACTGTGTACGATTTGTGCTCAAGTTGGTTGAGTTATGCGTAGTAAATTGTAGGTATTCTAAGGCTAGTAAATGACGAATTTCCTTTGTTTATTGAAGTCACACTCCTTCCCTATTATCTACTTCTGTTATTATGGATCTAACTAAGATCAACTTTATTTTTAGGTGAACTATAGAGATCCGATGAAATTATTCAATTATTTACAGTGTGAACTCCATTTAAGGCATTCCCACTATATGAGCAGCAGTTAGAGAGGTTTGCACAAGCTATTCAACCTCTACTTGACAACACACCAATTGACAGTAAGAAGTTAGCTAAAAGCTCACTGTGGGAACAAATTAAAGAGGCCTACCACTCCAAGCATATATTTGAAGCAGGCAAGTTGTTTAAGATGTATTAGTTGATTCTATGAAATGCAAGGTTATAATTAGTATTAATCAAGTAGTTACTTGAATTATTTTGTTTCTTCGTACTCAGCGTGTCTTTTCAGAAATATTAGTGTACTTCTGTGAAATCACAATGGCGTGCGATGACGTTAAAAAATGGCACGTTTGCATCTTTTTGTAGGAAAAATCCTTGGTGAAGACCTGCCACTGTTCTATGAGTATCTAACAGCTCCAGCCTCTAAAATCCTAAACCAGTGGTTCGATTCGGAACCTCTGAAGGCAACCCTGGCTACGGACAGTGTCATCGGAGCGATGATTAGCCCAGACACCCCTGGAAGCAGGTTTGTCAATGACGATGAACGTGGCAGATGTTGTGATAGTTACCGTTTTAGACGTTCACACACGCAGCTGTCTGGTAATTCACGTTCTGCTGTTGTCCTTACCTCGGAAAGCAAATTATTGCGTCCCGGCCAATTTCTTTCACTAATTAAAACCACGCATATTATTTTTGAATTAGAAATCAACTCGTTTATTGTCAGCTTATCAAGATGCATTTGCAAAGTGAAAATCCTTTTATAACATTGCTTTGGTAATTAGCAGGCTTATGCGCTATCTTGTGTTCTACGCATTAAGTGCAGGAAGCGACCAATAATAATAATTATACAATAGGAATACTATATACAAATACATCAGTGTGGTAGCATGTTTGCGGGGGTGCATCATGATTTAGACTGTTAGATGTGCATCATGTTAATTAATGATCATGCATATCACATAAAGTATGCATCATATTAGCATTATTTTTCAAAGGGGCATCATGCTTCAGATGTGCACCGTGCATAGAGCTACTGGGTAGACTGTAGTAGATGTAGATCATTTTATAAAGCAAACCTCCACCTTTCTTTCGCTTACAGTTACGTGTTGCTACATCATGTCATGGGTGAACTAGAAAAACAGAAAGGCATATGGGCATACCCAGAGGGAGGAATGGGAGCTGTCTCATCAGCCATTGCTAGCTCTGCTCGTGCAGCTGGTGTGGAGATATTCACAAACAAGGTGCAATTAACATCCATATTTCTTCGAAAACACTACTGTAGAAAAGTCACACCCTGGTTATTTAAACGGATTTCATTTCTTATTGTCCGAGGATCATCATATATGTGTTTTTACGCTTGACTTTATTACATTTATATTACCGAATCTATCCATTTATATATTACATTTATTATATAAAGGACGTGTATACCGTCACGCGAGTTGACAGTAATGCGACATATTTATGCATATTTTTTGATGCTGTCGAAATGTAAAATTCCTCAGTGTCAAACTGAGCGAGTGAAATGTAAAGGACGTAAAATTGTCTTTATTAAAGTCGAACCTGTACATAAGAGTCACTCAGGGGAAATCCTAAATGTCATATAGCCACAGGTCCATGCTATGAAGTAGTTTCACTGTATTGCTACCACTCGATGAAAACCCAGAAATGTGTCCTTAATGAGCAGGTGTCTGTTCCACGGAGGGTGTCCGCTAACGCAGATTTGACCGTACGTTCTTCAGGCAGTGTCCCAGTTCATCGTCGATGCGTCGAACGGTGTGCGTGGCGTGGCGCTGAACGATGGAACTGAAGTGAGAGCCACGGCCGTCCTGTCAAATGCCACGGCCAAGGTCACGTTCCTTGACCTCTGTCCGGCCGAGGCACTGCCCAGCAAATTCCGCTCCGCAATCGGCCGCATAGACTACACGTCGCCCGTCACAAAGATAAACGGTAGCTCTCACATGGCATAATGCGTTATGGCGCGACTAGCGATCGAGCGAATACTTGTGTTATGGATTTATGGTTTTTGATTAAATGGACGAGCAATCGATTTTTGAAGTGAACGTAGAGTGGTTACACGGACATATCTACAGACGTATATATAATATAAATATGTATGTACATGCAGTGAGATAATATTATTACTGTTCCACGCTGTCTAATACATTTGTGAAGGTACGTTCTATTGTTTTGCTTGCCCACTCCTGCTCAGTGGCTACCAGAGGCCTGCCGAACTTCGTGGCCGACCCGAGCGTTGGTGATGACCCGATGCCTCATCACCGCGCGACGATACATCTCAACTGCGAGCACATGTCCCTCATACAGGAGGCGTATGAGGATGCGTCGCGCGGCGAGATCTCGCGGCGGTGAGGCTTGCGCGCAGTCGCGTCGCGCATGCGCCATGCAGTGACAGACGGTGTCGGTGGTCATCACTTCTGTAATGTGGGCAGGTGTCTCTACGAAGGACGCCTTTAGGGTTTACCTCGTCTGTCAGTTATACGGTGAAACCACCTCTCTTGAACGGACGGCTGTCTGTGAACGGCGCCTTTATAGTTTTTTTTCCTTGAGTGGCAATTCTGCGGTGAAACTACCTTTAAATCGAACGAACACCTGTCTAGGAAGATTTGTGGTTTTCCTCGAGTGGCAGTTATGCGCTCACGTCACCTTCAAATAAAACGAACATCTGTCTGTATAGAGGACACTTTACATTTAAGTGGCAGTTGTAGAGTGAAGCCACGACTATCGAACTGATAACTTGCCTATGAATGACATTTTTGGGGGTTTCCCTCAAGGGACCTATATACAAGTTTATGTATAGGTTTGCATTTTTGGCTCGCCTTGACATCGTCAAGATGAGCTATTGCCATGGGGTGTCGTCCGTCCTTCCGTCCGTCCGTTCGTCAACATTTGGCTACGGTCAACGATAACTCAAGAACCGTTTGACCCACATGTTTCAAATTGCATATAGTTGTTACTCCTATGGGACAGGTTTGAACGTCCTATTTTGGAGCACGCCAGTCGACCTACATTCGAGCCACGTCCACTTTTTGGCAAAAATGGAAATGGCCATAAATCAGTTCAGGTTCAATGGATTTTGCTCATTTCTGGTATGTGAATGAATAAGGACTGGCCCCAAAACATATCACACGGGTTTTGATATTTTTTTTAAATTATGCAAATTAGGGAGATTTTGGAAATTTCACTATACATTTCAGTGTCTGCCTACGGTCAACGATAACTCTAAAACTGTTTGACCCACATGTTTCAAATTGAATACAGTTGTTACTCCTATGGGAGAGATTTGAACTTCCTATTTTGGAGCACGCCAGTCGACCTACTTTTGAGCCATGCCCACTTTTTGGCAAAAATGAAAATATCTAAATTCATTCGATTTTGTTAAATTTTGGTATGTGAATGTGTAAGGCTAGCCCCAAAACAGTTGTTACTCCTATGGGAGAGATGACATCTTATTACGTTTATTTCGTCTAACTGGTCAACAACTCTACAATCGTACCTATATACGTGTAATATTGTGTTTTATATTCTTCGTTACAGTAATTTGACTGGAATATTTTATTGTTTTTATTTGCGCGATATTCGAAAACCAAAATGGCGATCATTTAGGCGTAGCGCCATCTCTCGTCAAGATTTCCGACTCAGATCTGAAACATTTATTTTTGCATCAAAACTTATGCATATATCATTATCAAGAGTATATAATGGGAGATATGCTATATAATGGGAGATATGCTATATAATGGGAGTTCTCCCATATATACTCTTGCTTTATATATCCCCCCTCTTCTATCACACCCAAGGTGAGCTACAGTGTTATTGACACTTTCATTTGATGACCGAGGTTTGAACCTTTGGATATCACGGTCTTAGTTGCACTCATTGTGCAAAGTACAACAAGCAGGTTTACAAAAGTTTTATAAGGAATACATTTACTAGTATTGGGTTTTTGATTTCTAGGCTTTAAATCCTTTTAAACCCAACATTGTTTCATCATGGTGCTAATACAGTTGAACTTGTATGTAAGGGTCATGCTAGGAATCCACCAAAAGTGTCTTTTCTAGGTAGGGTGTCCATCCTAAAGAGCTATTTGCTAGTGCAAGTTTTACTTTGCCCACGTCAGTATGAAGTTTAGGTTCAGGTTAAGATTTGTCTTACATGATGGCCCACCCTTGTTGCAGACCTCTTATAGAAATGACTATTCCATCAAGCATGGACCGTACCATTGCTCCTGAGGGGTGTCACGTCTTGCTCTTCTTCACCCAGTTCACACCCTATACTTTGGCAGGTGGGAAGACATGGGATGAAAAGACTAAGCAAGCTTATGCTGAACAGAGTGAGTGTAATTGAGAGAATTGTGAAGAATGTCAATCATCCTAATTTGATTAAAAAATATAATCAAACTAATACTACACGAAATCTTTTTTGTTCTATAATATTTCTTCACTGGTTGTAATAATAAATTTAATCCATCAAATTAACTACTTTTGTTCAGATGCACAAATCAACGAAAGTTGACAACAACGTAATATGAAAATTCGTATGGGCTTAGCATAGTAGCACTGGCACCATCGAATGGCAGCATTTCAGTCTGTTCATTGCTCAGCCACTGATGTTCACAAACGGTTTCTCTGCAGTATCTTGTGCGGCATGTTTTTTGCAGTATTCGGCGACGTGGAGAAGTATGCGCCAGGCTTCCGCGAGCTCATCGTGGGATATGAGGTCCTGCCGCCTCCTGAGCTTGAGAAAATATTTGGTCTAACAGGTGGTGTGAGTGTCAGTTGTCGTCAGTCGACTTTTATCTGTCAACTTTCATCAAGTATTCATTGTTATTACATGTAATAATATAACTATATATATGTATTGTTATATATATATATATATATATATTGTTATATAGTATTTGTATATTTATTTTTACATTGTTATATTTGTCATTGTTATTGTTAATATTATTGTTAAAGAATTTGTTGACATTTATAATCGTCCTTGTTTGGTTTGCCAAGTTTACATTATGGTATGAGTCTATGACTATAAATGCAGTCACCACTGCAGGCACTATAGACTCTCAGACACCACTGACACACATCTGGGTTGCAACCTGGCTTGAATAACATGCGTTGGTGCTTCACTGAACATTTCAGAATATCTTCCACGGCGCCATGTCGCTGGATCAGCTGTATTTCACAAGGCCGGTGCCTGGCGGATCTGGAAGCCGGTCACCTGTGAAGGGACTTTACCTGTGTGGGAGTGGTGCACACCCAGGTTGGTTCTATCTTGTCGAAGAGGAGGCTGGGGCAATGGCTCCCATCTTTTTTTTTGCAATGATCAAATCATTTATCGAACGCGATGCCGCACGGTTCGTGATCTGATAACCAGTGGAAGATAGACAGATTACCTGTCTATTGTCTGCTCTCGATTGACGGCATATATACAGTCGAAGAACTGTGCGTGTGACTTTTGTTTTGATAGACACCACACGTGGGAAATCATTACTTGTGGAACCACTTTATTCGTACCGATTACAATTCGTCGTACGTCGCGTGTCGGTTGTTAAAATGCGCGGCACTCGTCATTTCCACTTCCTCAACTTTATAGATGTCCATTTGTTTGCAACTGATGTGGTTCCTTACAGGTGGCGGAGTGATGGGAGCGCCAGGTTACCTCGCTGCACAAGCTGTGCTGCAGGATGGCAGCTAGGTGCGCCCTCTATAGCGAAATTCAGGAAAGAAAGAACACGAGGCAATGATGGCATGGGACTTTCACACATCCCTATTCCAATATGTGTCTGCCCCTGCTTCTTCCCTATTTACTTCACTTGGTGCCCGTTGTAAGAAACATGGTAATTAGTTGTGACACCATAAGTCTAAAATTATCATCCCTAATGAAGTGTTGTGTTGGCTTGTGATATTTTAAACTTATGATAGCCATAACTTTTTATGATGTGTCTGACAACTGCTCTAGACTAGTGTTGGACTGATACAACCAGGATACGACCATCTTAAATGTTAGCGTATTCGTGGAGACGAACAATTGATTTGCAATATTGTCCCATCTTATGTGCTGTTGCATTTTGCTATTGTTACAACAAGTTTACTGGTGCTACGATAATAATTTCATATACGACGTTTAATATTTGATTCATATTTTCCATGAGCTGTCGTTCTATTCGGGTGGAGCTGCAGTTAAAATTTTGATACGCCAAATTTGATAGGTGATCGTGTGAAAGCTGTTCACCTACTACTGTACTAATGATGGAGATCATATCACGTCTGACGTGTCTTGTTGAATTTTTTTTTTTTTCTTGTTTGTTTCCTGTATTTGAATTTTGATATATATATATATATATGTATTCTCATTTTAACGATGAATTTTCATTATTGTTTCAAAACCACTAAGTTGTTTTAATTATAGTAATCATACAATTATTATAATTTTACGTTAATTTTTAATCATGTTTAAAAATGTTGAAGTTGGCTGTTCATTAGGTTGAGCGTTTTAAAATTGGTGCATATATTAATCTCCGTATTAATGATTTGATAGCAATGGTTTATACATGTATTGTATAATAGCATGTATTAATTACCTTGTATGTGACTGTGACGAATTAAGTGCAATATATATTGGAAATAAATTAGTCAATGCATAATATTGTTGTGCTTTTCATGGTGCCAGTAACAGTGGTCCGAAATATTCGCATGTAGGGCTTTACAATAAAAATTCAATCGATTTATTAATGAGACACGATCTGTCACTCTGTTTGGCTCAGAAACACGCCCATAGAAAACTGACAGGGCTCGGACGGGCTGTTTTAACTGCTGAGACGGTGAGCTTACATCGCTTGTTGCTGTAGTTAGTTAGCATTAACGCTCTGTCGGCACACACACGGATTAATAGCTTTCCCACGCACGGTCGGCCGGAACCTACCTACATAGCACGGGGTGCTCTTATAGCCTGGCAGTGGCGCCCCCTGGAAGAGCTTAATCACTTTTTGTGTTGCGCACCACACGGCCGGATGCCACCCACATTTTTTAATTAAATTGACTACGTCACGAATTTTCTATGGTAAAATGTGTAAAAAAAATTGCCATTTTTTTACATTAAAAGTAAGAACTAACGGGACTAAACGTATCGTCAAATTCTTACCTGATAAGATTGTTTCTCAACTAGTTAAAAATCCAAAAAACCTGGACGATTTGATATTAATGTTCCCAACATTAATTGCTTGCTATGGGCTATGTATGAGTCACGAGTGTATGTTCACATCGAACAATATAGTAAAACAAGAAGCAATTTAACCATAAAAAGTGAACAGAATTACTTATATTTTGTGAAAAAGTGTAATTTTTATTTTTATTTTTACTATTTACGGTGACGTAATCACTTTAATATCTGCTATAGCTCATTTTCTTGAGCGCTCACAGGGCGCGTTATTGGTTATAGCCTGTTGTACTTTTTTATTTTGAAGTATTTGTACCTGCGCTATTTTTCTCATTCATCACAGACAGGGTGTTCTTCCATCTACAATATCCTCGGCTTGTTGTTAGAAATATCACGCATCATGAATGTCTTACGTTTTACGTATAACTACAAGCCTTGAGAACCAACAACAGTTTTCAAGTAAGCTTTTGAACAGGCTTAGTGGTAATGTAACTCAGGTATTGAACACAAGAGACCATTATTATACAGTCTAACAACTTAGAATTTATTTTAAGCTAAAAGGTAGCATCTCAGCACACAGGACTGAAAGCATTCAGCTGCATGTATACATACATACATATATATATATATATATATATATATATACATATATATATATATATACATATATACATATATATATATGTATATCAAGAGCTAATATATGTATACCAACTGAATGCTTGAATACACATATCTTGTATGCTACATATCGCGTGCAAGCACACACGTCTGCCGGCCCGCATGCACGCACTTTTATACATAATACACGTGCAAGCGCACGCAGGCACGCACAAACAGACACGCGGTTGTCTCCGCTTAGGGCAGAACTACAAAAATGTTATACATGTCTACGTCTGTAATGACACCGTTCTGGTGCAGAGCATCTTAACAGATTCAAAAGATTTTCATCTGGAAATCATGACGTCACGTTTACCTATCACTTCGCTGCTATGATGCCAGCTCACGACGATGAGAAATACCTCATTTGCTTGTCTTTACAACCGTTCCTTCTTACAGTGAGAAACATGCACGCGATTTTGATTTTACGACGATGTTAAGAAGACTTTTCGTGAACTAGACTTATGCACATTTTGGTTTCCAACACTGTACAGTACCGTTTAAAATTCTATGTACAAAAGCATCAGTAAAATGCATGAATTTACAAAAAACAAAAACAAAGACTAAAATGTGACAACAGAAATACTCGTCAGATCTAGTTTGTTCAACGAACCACTGACATCGCTCACTTAACAAAATAAAACTTCTGGAGCACCAAAAATCTTTCTACTCAGTGATGCCTGGGCACGCATACATACACTCCAAAACACCTCACCACGCCTGTTTACATACACATAATATACATACACTCCACGAGAAAGCTACGATCCCTTAAAACGAATTATGCAAACTTAGTCACGTACACTACCAATAATTCAAGCCTATCCACGACAACCTTCGCCCACACTGCCAGACACCCTACTATATCACGAGGCTGTGAGGGTGGCGGTAAAGTGCTGTAATAGTGAAGAGAACATTATAAAACACAGTAGTTCTAAGTCTATGCCAGTCTCTGCGAGGTGGAAGCACACGTGGATCAATTAATTGCACCGATATTGTCAGGTTCCGCCACCAGATCAATCAATTAGTCATGGCAATCAGTGTCACCATCACTTTGCTCCAAGAAAGTTTATTTGCAGATGAGGATATATCGGGCATAGCATCTTGTTTAGCCTTACCTTAACGTACAGTGCATTGTGCGTGAGTACATTAAAAATAAATATCCTTACATTAAATCACTGACAAGCTATATTGCCAAGCTAACTGATTGAATTGCTCGTGTTATGAAACACACAGCATTTCTCGTCACAGTAACGGACACAATCCGTTGCGCAGCAGCTAATGCTGGCGACGGTGACGATTATGACGGCGATGATGATGAAGACAACAACGACGATGACGATGATGACAATGATGACGGCGATGACGATGATAATGATGATGATGATGGCAATGACGATCATTATGATACCAATGAAGATGACGATGACAATGCAGAAGCTGATGATGACGATGACAGCAATACCGGTGCTACCACACACAACCCTGTTCGCAGCCCTCTATTACTGTTTTATGCTAAAACCATTCTGCCCATCCTATTTACATACAGATCCCTACTGCACGTCTACACAGACCCTGACACAGGCAATGCTCTCGCGCTAGGATAAAAGCTAATATAACCCAACCCTGCGCTATAGCTAAAATCATCAAGCCTCTGCATAGAGTAAAGTACCAAGCACCAACAGACCCAGACCCACACCCAGCCATACAAGTGGACACGTGTACACCTAGCCACACATGCACGCATGCAATAATGCAGGCACGTACATACGGACTAATGCACACATACATTGGTGGCTATAGTCGCAGCAGCCAGCAGCACAGTTTCCAGAACAGGGCAGATTTCAAAACGTCGTCAACGAACCACAGCTTTCACTATTCAGTTTTCACGATCACATCGAACACGTTTCTCATGCTCTCAAAGAAGGAGACAACTCTGACATGTACTGTTGTTCACTGTGCTACTGTTACACTGCGTATTCCAAATAACCGCAAAGCCACGGTGACAGCACTGAGAACCGTACATCCGCGTATCAGAAATGTACATAGAAATAACCTTACCTTACATTACCGACCCGAGCCTCAACTCTTTGCGCTTAAAAATTGCAATATATTTACATAGTGGTGTGCGAACAGGTATCATGGTTAACTCTGATGGCCTGTAGCAGATTAGAATGACTACCGTGTTAAGTGAGCACGCCCCGCGGGCGACACAGCTGTGCCACGACTGACACAGCATGACTGAGTACACAAGTGTGAGATTCTTGTAGGCTAGCAGCAATTGGCTTCTCTCCTGCTGGCAGGACGTGTGTCCATCCCCATCATTCTCAGCAGGATGTGTGTCCATCCCCATCATCCCAGACAGGATGTGTCCATCCCCATCATCCCAGACAGAGATATATCAGCCCCCATCATAGCAGGCAGGATGTGCCCACAACCATCTTCCCAGGTGAGATTTGTCTATCCCCCTGATCCTGGAAGAGATGTATATCCAGCCCATCACCCCGAGGTGGCATGTGTCCATAATCATTGCAGGTGGGCCATGTCCACCGACATCATCCCAGCCAGGACGTGCATTCCCATCCGAGTGAGATCTCGACTGACACCGATATTGAATTAAAGGTCACTCAAAGGTCATCAGGTTTGCAGGTGGCTGTAATAGAACAGATGCAGAAAAGATAGTCATTAGATCACGTCATTGATTAATACACGCACGCTCGCACGTGCGCGCACGCACACATACAGCTGCTGCTTTAGCAATCACTGTAATTGTATACGCATAAATGTATGGCATAGCGGATGACTCAGAATCTCGCAATCTGACTAACAAATTATCAAACTAACAAAAAAGTTGCCATCATTTGAAACATTTAAAATTATTCACGTTAATTCTCGACCCGATGCATACTTTTGGCTGATATGACTGTGAAGCTTCCGACAATGCTCTACACCAGTCCTGCGCCCTGCCGAGGGAATCTGCCCGGAACTTGTAGATATTTCCTGTAAAACACACGGTGTTCCCATTAGCCTGCTCGATAATGAAATAAAGGCTGTTACACACACTACTCACTAATGATGGTACAGACTAGAACTGTCATTGGTATGAAATTATTTCGATTCGATTATTGATATTTTTGTTTTCGATATTTCGATCCGATTCAATTTAATATGTAATAAAACATGACGTATGTATATAAAAATATGTAATAAAACATGACATGTAAATAAACGGACTATCGCATTATAATAAGACAGGATCATGATTATCGTGTTACAGGAGCAAGTAACCATGGTTACCATGTTACGTTAATGAAAAGCTCACAAACGCAGTTACTTCAATAGGAGCTTATTAAAAACGCTGAGCACTTCATTATAAAGTGCGATGTAGAGAAGAAAAACGTGTGGAAACTAGGTGAGCTTTGCCGACTAGCAACACCCTCCAAGGATACATACACACATATATCTTCTTATTACCAGGATAACAGCAACACACAACAGAAACATGAGAACAGAGGTGTCGTTGCTACAGATGTCCGCACCTTTGACTGGATCGATGAGTTGAAACGTGTTAGACTGCATCGGGTCTATGCCGACCATGACGATGTCCCATGCGACTATCGAGTGCATCTTACACGGGTTGTGCTTGTAGTCCGACCGCTCGTTGCCACGCAGCGCCTTTGCCGGGTAGTAGAGCAGCGACGTGCCCCACAACGCCACCCAGTAGCGAGTCCATGACGTTACCTGCGTGGAGACGTGAGCAACACGCTAGATGGCTGCCTCTGATCGCACATACAGCTGCGACTGTGTTACACCACGATAAATGTGAGTGAACCTTGAGAGATTAATTCTGCTTGTACAACCAGTGCACACACTACATAGATGAGTCTGAGACTGGGATAGGGCTGGTGAAAGGGTATAGATATAAATATAAGTGGAGACTGGATAGGTATAGCACAGTTACCGGCGGTTTTTTCCTATCCTTCAGCACCGTCTTTCGCCGCAGGCAGCCCTGACACTTGAAGTTGGCCGTCCTTAGCACGTCCTGAGGTATCAGCTCTTCAGTTGCATCGACAGGTCTGAAACAGGAGTGGCGCTGGCATTAGCTAACCCACACAGTGCCTCAATCTAGTATTTTCTACAGAGGGAATCTTTCTCAAAAGATGCTGAAATTAGCATAATTGAATCAGAACCTCTGATTGTGTGTATGCCTGTGGGTTAATACTGGCACCGCAAGACCACCAATTGTCTATATGTGTGTGTGAGTGCTTGCATGTATGAGTGCGTGCATGTGTGCATGCGTTAATGTATGAGTGAGTGAGTGAGTGAGTGAGTGAGTGAGTGAGCGAGTGAGCGAGTGAGTGAGTGATTGAGTGATTGAGTGATTGAGTGATTGATTGTGAGTGAGTGAGTGAGTGAGTGAGTGAGTGAGTGAGAGAGTGAGTCATTTAGTGAACGAGCCAGTGATTGAGTGTGAGTGAGTGAGTGAGAGAGTGAGTCATTTAGTGAGCGAGCCAATGCTTGCATGTCAAGACATCTCTCGTACCCATCTTTCTCCTGTTCGTCGGTGACTGCTGAATCCTCGCTCACAATCTCTGCCAGCTGCCCACAGATGGAGCCCTCGCGCGACGCGCACGGTGATTCCTCCAGCACCGAATCATCCAGCAGGTGGCGCACGCTGTCCTGCACTGGAAGCTGGCTCACCCTGGTGGCAGGCAAGTCCATTTAAATAATGTGCGCTCAATTTTCATGCCTTCGTGAAATGACTTTCATGACTTTCTATGAGGATAACAATTGCAAAATACTGATGCATTATGCTAATGCATTACAAACACAAATAACACCTTCATTATTATCTCAGGATTGCTTGAGAACTAGCTTTAAAGTTATTACTTCATGATGAACTAACTAGGGTTGGAACAACCAATGGTTAGAAGGCCCATGCGTAAACACCAACACTGTTATAAACTCACCCTTGAAATTCAGGTGGTGCTTGTAAATGAAGGAAACTACACAAAAAGATAAAACAGAACAAAAAATGAATGGAGTGGGCAACGAAAGGGTTCACTACGATGACAATATCTCCTGTTAACAAGGATACATCTACCACTACAATCAGGGAATGAAATCCGCTATGGTTAGCATGGTCTGGTCACTGCACTATTATGCCAACACACAGTCATATTGCCTGAGACATACAGTCATAATGCCTGAGACATACAGTCATAATGCCTGAGACATACAGTCATAATGCCTGAGACATACAGTCATGTTGCCTGAGACACATTCGCATTGCATGAGGCATATAGTAATGTTGTCTGAAGCATACATCTATGTTTATTAATCAGTGCCATGTTACCACCACATATGACACCCAGGCAGCTAATCACGTACACAATGCAACTATTCATGCTAGATAATTCCTCAATATTTAATGTCACACGATAATCACTAATTGAAAATTAGTTATTATTCAGTGACGTTCTCACAATTTAAATCGGGTGCATACATGTTCGCGACACAAACTAAGAAACACAGAGTCTAAACAGAGGACATATGGACAGTTTCGCGCAGACACGCATGGAAGCACGCACACACGCGCGGCAGGCCCACACAGTCCCGCAGCCCGGCCGCCCCCCCCCCATGCCAGCCGCGGCCACGCACGGCATGCGGGCCCACGCGGCGACGCATGCATCGCAGAGCACGCTACGCACGGGGCCGCACGCACGGGCACGCAGCGCACGGCACGCACGCACTAAGCGACAGGCAATCCAGTACTTGCACGCACATATGCACTCACTAACACAGCGTCAGTACTTGCACGCACGTATGCATACATCATCAACATACACATGAATGCACACACAAATGCACCCATCCACGCACGCACGCATGGAAGCACGCACACACGCGCGCGCCCGCACACACGCACGCACGCACATAGTTAGCAGATGCATGCACTTATACACACACACACACACACAAACGCACCCACGAACACATGCACGCACGCGACACATGCCATCTACTCACTTTGTTCCTAAGCTGCGTGTCTTGCGGTGAGCCTGCACGAGGCGCGGAGAGCTACAGGGCGGCTGGCGAAACGAGTGAGTTTTGGCGGGTGACGAGGGAACCAGTCCAACGTCCTCCTTCGCTTTCGATGCGACGGCATTGGTAGCAGCTGGCGTAGTCAGTGGTTCTATGGTCAGTGATAACCTGTGGAAGAAAGAAGAGAGATGGATGGATGATCACAGAGCTTCGATAAACTGTTAACGACTAGTATATATCTAATTGCATTGATACAGGAATAAATGCACGACGTCAACAAGCTATCAATGACTATTATATCTAATCAGATTGTTACACGAGCAAATTAAACCCATGAGTTCAAGTTCAACAAAAACTATTATAATTTATATGTATCTAATCAGATTGTATAGCAAGAGTGCATAGGAATGTGCAACATTTCTAAATCCTCACACTGATCTCCACACAGCTATGAACAGTGTCCCCCCCCCCCCCGTCTATAACATCATCGCAATAAACTATGCCCTCACTTGAAGTTGTCATCCTCCACAAACTTCTGTAGCTCCTCTATGTAACGCACTGACTTTAGGTAGTTCTGAATGTGCTGCAACGGCGGCAACTGATCTGCAATGTTGTTAACAAGCTCACTTGTACATGAACACTTCACACTAGCAATGAGTAGCAAACTTCATGAGTGAAGCAGCTAAGAGAAGGAAGATAGAGTGAGCGTGAGAGGAGCATGGGCACCAAAAAGGAGCCGGAAAGCAGGAAACCAGGAAAGCAGGAGCAGTGAGCAAGACAAAAACGAGAAAAAAGAGTACGACTCACTTCCTAGACCAGTGCCAAAGACAGTAACTAGAAGAGACTTAAAGGAATAATATGTCCATTGATTATGCAATGTTGACGAATGCTAGAGTAACTGGCACCTTGTGTAGTTAATAAGTACGTAACCTTATAGCCTAACGCGTATTAGTTTGTCCAATATCACTGCTGGTTACATTACAAGCAAGACTTGAAATCGGTTGTTGATATATAATTAATTTACGTGCCGTAAATGTCATCCAGGAGTCAAGCGATAAGTCGCCGATGACTTAAAAATTTGTGCGGCCTGTATGTTTTGAACGCCAGATGAAATGGAGGTGTCAGCTGTGTAACCACGGCCACGGACTAAACATGGAAATGGAGTAAAACCCACGTACTAATCACGGACGCACATGGACAGCCCTGACAAAAAGTTCCTTATCACGAGCGTCCGTGTTTACGAAATCACTGATGATAGCATTGCGTACGGCCGAGCATGCATACGAAAATGTCCGGTGCACTAAAAATCTGTATCACACCCGCTTCACCGGCAGCGGTTTGAAACTGTAAACAACTCAGTCAACTGATTTCTTGGACTGCGGATTTCAATTAGACATTTCTTGGTAACCAGCAGTGATATTGGACAAACTAATACGCATTTGGCTATAAGGTAATGTACTTATTAACTAAACAAGGTGCCAGTTACTCTAGCATTCGTCAACATTGCATAATCAATGGACATATTATTCCTTTAATGAGGAGGTTTGAGGAGCCGGTCACAGGTCTTACCGTACACGGATAAGAGTTAAGGGGTTTTGTTACTGTTCATGTTAGGTTTAGGATTACGGTTAGGGTAAGGGTCATGTTCAAGGTAAGGGTAAAGGTTAGGGTCAGGGTTAGGGTTAGGGTTATGGTTAGGGTTAGGGTCAGGGTTGGGGTTAGGGTTAGGGTCAGGGTTGGGGTTAGGGTTAGGGTCAGAGTTAGGGTTAGGGTTAGGGTTAGGGTCAGGGTCAGGGTCCGTACCATACTGTGACTGCTGGAAGTCAGCGTTCACACGCAGGATGTTGTTCATTAGCAGCAGACGTTGTTGACTCTCCAGACCGCCGGAGTGAGGGTGAGCGACGTCTATGTACACCAGATCTGTCAGATACATGCCTGAAGCAGAATATGATCACGCGGTCAATGTCTGCGAACTGTCAGCCGCAGTAAGACACCACAATGCCACAGCCGAATAGCGTGACAAAGACAAATATAATAACACAGCCATGTATAACAACGTAATTCACATAAACATACATAACAATGACATGTTACAATCATGTCAGAGCGTACCTACAGATAGGATATGTCAGTTGGACAGCAGATAGAAGATAGAACCTATCTATCGATGTCACAGCATACTTAGATATAGGGTAATCTCTGAGCTTGATGGAAGAGCTAGGTTAGAGATTACGTGATAATGTGACAGGATACCTAGATATGGAATAACCGGTAGCTTGATGTTGCTCATATAATCTCGCAGCTTTTGCCTGTTGTTTTCCTCTGAGAACACGTCTGCAAGTTTGTCGAACGTAGACCGGTCTTTCTTCGAGACCAACTTGAACGCAGAAGCAAAGACGTGTGAGCAGAACGAACGTTCGAGAGGAGGTGATCCTCTCTCTCTCTCTCTCTCTCTCTCTCTCTCTCTCTCTCTCTCTCTCTCTCTCTCTCTCTCTCTCTCTCTCTCTCTCTCTCTCTCTCTCTCTCT